GGTGGATCCCATCCCTGCGGTGGATCCCATCCCTGCGGAGCCGGGCCGGTACCTCCTGGTGACGGCGTTGTGGAACTCCAGGAACGTGCGGCCGTCGAAGGCCACGGCCTCGGCGTCCCCCGCTGCCTTCTCGATGATGGCTGCAGGGACATGAGAGATGGACACGGGGGAAAGGGGAGGTGGGAAAAGAGGGGCTGGGAAAGGCCGGGAGCTCCTGGGAGATGGGACAAACCCCCAGAGCACCACCCCCGACAGGACAGTGGCACGGCCACACCTCCAACCTCCCATGGCCACCTCCAACCTCCCATGGCCACCTCCAACCTCCCATGGCCACCTCCACCTTTCCTGTGGCACCTCCAGGTTCCCATGGCCACCAGCACCCCCCTGGGCCACCTCCACCTTCCCCACAGCCACCTCCAAGCCCCCATGGCCCCCTCCAACCCCTTGTGTCACCTCCAATCCTCCATGGCCACCTCCAGCCCCTTGGACCACCCCCAGCTCCCCATGGCCACCCCGGTGGCACGCACCCTTCTCGCAGCGGGCGCCCGCGAAGCCGGCGTGGCAGGAGCACTGGTAGGTGGCCATGCTGGGCCGGCAGGCGCCGCCGGGCTGGCACGGGTTGGGCTCCTGGGTGCAGGGGTGCCCCCGGAACGGGACCACCTGCCGGGCCGCCCGCACGTGCTGCTCCCGCAGCACCGGCACGCCGTCCACCGAGACCTGCGGGGCGGCCGCGCCTCAGCCGGAGCCTCCCCCGGCACCGGGAATTCCAGCCCGGGCAGCGCCCCCGGCGCGGCCGGAGGGATCCCGGGCACGGGGGGCCTGGGGGGTCTCCAACCCAACCAGGATGGGGTCAACGGAGGGTCCTGCCTCACCCACCTCTGTCCCTGGGACACTGGGCAGTGTCCACGGGGACAGGAGAAGGTGGGATCCCATCCCTAGGATGGTGGGAATCCACCCCTAGGATGGGAAACCACTCCCGAGGTGGGAATATCCATCCCTGAGATGATGGGAACCCATCCCTGTGGTGGGAATCCACCCCTGAGGTGGGAATATCCATCCCTAGGATGATGGGAACCCATCCCTGTGGTGGGAATCCACCCCTGAGGTGGGATCCCATCCCTAGGGTGGTGGGAATCCATCCCTAGGATGGGAATCCACCCCCGAGGTGGGAATATCCATCCCTGAGATGATGGGAACCCATCCCTAGGATGGGAATGTAACCCTGAAGTGGGAATATCCATGCCTATGATGGTGGGAATCCATCCCTAGGATGGGAATCCACCCCCAAGGTGGGAATATCCATCCCTGAGATGATGAGAACCCATCCCTAGGATGGGAATCCACCCCCGAGGTGGGAATATCCATCCCTGAGATGATGGGAACCCATCCCTGAGGTGGGAATGCACCCCTGAGGTGGGAATATCCATCCCTAGGATGATGGGAACCCATCCCTGTGGAAGGAATCCCTGAGGTGGGATCCCATCCCTAAGATGATGGGAATCTATTCCAAGCGTCCCCGAACTCCCCTTCTGTCCCCCACTGGTGCCACTGATCCACCAGCAGGACAGCTCCCAGGTCCATCCCAGGACAGGTGGGACATTGGGCTGGCCAGCAGGACACTGGCCAGGCCAGCAGGACACTGGAGTGACCAGCAGGACGCTGGAGTGACCAGCAGGACGCTGGAGTGACCAGCAGGACGCTGGAGTGACCAGCAGGACACTGGCCAGGCCAGCAGGACGCTGGAGTGACCAGCAGGACGCTGGAGTGACCAGCAGGACGCTGGAGTGACCAGCAGGATCTCACCCACCTTCTGCAGAGCCCCCTCGAAGCCGCTGGAGACCGCGGCCGCCCGCGCCAGCCGGGAGAAGTCGGGGGCTCCCCCCAGGTAGAGCGGCTCCTTCAGGTTCAGCACCATGTGGGGCACCTGGGGACATCGAGGGACACGGGGGACACGGGGTCAGCTCCTCGTGCCCCTCCTCGTGGCGCTGCAGTTTGGGCTGTTCGAGGAGAATTGATTGGATTTGGTATTTTATTGATGGTTCTACAGATGGAGCCGCCAGGAAACCTCCTCATGCCGAGGGCGCCAGCTCCGCCTGGGAAAGGTTTTCCCTGGATTGAATTTTGGGGAGAGGCTCTTCCCACAGCCTCAGGCCTGGAGGGGGGCTCTGCTTCGGGTGCCCCCCAGAATTGGGGTAAGGCCTGAGGGGGGCTCTGCTTCGGGTGCCCCCCAGAATTGGGGTACCCAGAGCCTGCTGCTCAGTCCCAGCTCGTTCCAGCCCGGCTGCCCAGCCTGGAGGAGCAGGTTCAGCTTTTCTCCTGCTCCCCAGGGCTTGAGGAGGTTCTCCTGCAGCCCACGTGGTGGTTTTGGAGGAGGAGATCCCCTCCTTGCTGTCAGAGCCCCAGGATTCCCAGGAATTCTCCACGCTGGAGCCAGGGCCACAGCAAGGACGGGGTGACATGGATGGCCAGCTAATGTTCCGTGGGATTAACACAAAATAAAATGAGCAGATTGACTGAAATGGCCCCAAAAGAAAAGGTGACAAGTGGCTGGGGATGAAGGACAGGAGAAGGGATGAGGGGCTGGAAACTACAGGGATCCTAAATCGGACGGGGAAGATGAAAAACCCCAAAAGAGGAAGGAGGTGCCGATGGCAGATGAGATGGAGGCGGGGGTCCATACTTATCTGTACCTTACGGGATTTCTGGGATCCAGAAAACAAAGGGAAATCAGAGGGAGAGGGAAAAAAGAGAGAGAAAAGGGACATCAGTGGGCTGGCACCGCGAGGGGCAGGGCTGGCACGGCCCCGCTGCCACCGCGGCGCTGGCAGGAGGGTCGCTGCCCCCGGGGCACTGCCCGGCCCTCAGAGGGGACAGCCAGGGCAGGAAAATCCCGGAAAATCCCGGATTTTGGTCCTGAGGGTTTAGGGACGAGCCTTTCCTGCCTTCTCCTGGGAAGGAGGAGGGAAGGGATCCCGGGAATGCCCAGAGATGCCCAGGAATGCCCAGGAATGTCCGGGGATGCCCAGGAATGCCCGGGAATGCCCAGGAATGCCCGGGAATGCCCAGGGATGCCCAGGAATGCCCAGGGATGCCCGGGAATTCAGGAAGGGCTGCAGAATTCCCACCTGGGAGAGGAGCCGAGGAAGCCCTGAGGCAGCAGCAGGGCTGGGGCTGTCCTGCGCCCTGAGCTCCTCTGCCTGCTGGGAGCTCTTCAGGCTTAATTACAGGGGGGGAATTCCACAAATCCCGAATTTAAAGCCAGAAACCGAGAGATTCCACTCAAATCCCGAATTTAAAGCCAGGAACTGAGAGATTCCACTCAAATCCAGAGTTTAAAGGCAGGAACTGAGAAATTCCACTCAAATCCAGAGTTTAAAGGCCAGGAACTGAGAAATTCCACTCAAATCCAGAGTTTACAGCCCAGGAACTGAGAAATTCCACTCAAATCCAGAATTTACAGCCCAGGAACTGGGAAATTCCACTTTTCCACCTTCAAACCGTTTCCACCTTCATCCCACTTCCCCAGCTGTGAAGCCCAGGAGCCCGAGAGCTCCACTCCTCCCCCCTCCAGCCCAGGATTCCCATCGCAGGGCCAGGAATTCCCTCGGAGCCGTTTCAATGCCGAGGCCCCGGTTCCCCGCGGGCGCTCGGGGTCCCGCTCAGCGGGGACTCACCGGGACTCACCCGGGACTCACCCGGGACTCACCCGGGACTCACCAGGGACTCACCGGGGACTCACCGGGGTCTCACCGGGACTCACCGGGGTCCCGCTCACCGGGGACTCACCGGGGTCTCACCGGGGACTCACCGGGGACTCACCGGGACTCACCGGGGACTCACCGGGGACTCACCGGGGACTCACCCGGGACTCACCGGGGACT